TTTAAAGAAGGAGAAATGCATAATGGTTGCCAAGGAGCAGTCTCTGCCATATTGTCCTCGATTGCATGTTCTGTTATGGATGTCCTCTCTTCAACACTTGAGTTCCTTATTGGATGTTTTCCTGTATCTCTTTTTTTTTTAATATATATTTGTTTTTTGAGTTGGAGTCTCACACTGTCACCCAGGCTGGAATGCAGTGGCATGCTCGAGGGCACTGAAGCCTCGACCTGCTGGGCTCAGGCAGTCCTTCCACCTCTGTCTTCCAAATAGCTGATGCCACAGGCGTGAGCCACCATGCCAGGCTAATTTTGATTTGTTGTAGAAATGAAGTCTTGTCAAGTTGCCCAGAATGGTCTCAAAGCCCTGGGCTCAGGCAATCTTCTTGCTTTACCCTCCCAAAGTGCTGGGATTAGAGGCGTGAGCCACCGTGCTGGACCCATAATGTGTTTTATATAGATGATCTCGATGTTAACCAGCATTTGAGTACCATGTTACCATACAATGCTTGTAGCAATAAAGAATATACAAAGTCAGAAACTTCTCAAACAAATAAACCCCTGAGAATACATACACATTTACTTGATAAATGTGTGAGACATCTGCTGTGAGCTTTAGGACTGGATGAAAAGTTGGTAAAAGTATTCAAAGACATGTTATTTTGTGTGTTTACAGGAATTAAAATGACATGAAATTGGTAAAAATGAAAACACAGGATACAAAGGAATGCCATTTTTATTTATCTTTAAATGCTAATGAAATAGAAGTGGAGAAACCTGGAAATTGTACCCTTTTAACTCTTTTGGTGATTTCTCCAGTTTTCTACAGGGCGATGTGCATGAGTCCCCACCTTGTGAACCACTATTCTGGCCAAGTATAAGGATTCATCAGATACGAGGTCCAACAATTCAGTTCATGAACTCCCTGTGGCAGGAAAATATTGGGGGTTTTTTTTTAAAGAAGGAGAAATGCATAATGGTTGCCAAGGAGCAGTCTCTGCCATATTGTCCTCGATTGCATGTTCTGTTATGGATGTCCTCTCTTCAACACTTGAGTTCCTTATTGGATGTTTTCCTGTATCTCTTTTTTTTTTTAATATATATTTGTTTTTTGAGTTGGAGTCTCACACTGTCACCCAGGCTGGAATGCAGTGGCATGCTCGAGGGCACTGAAGCCTCGAAAAAATGCTACATACCTCCTCACTGAATATCACTACAGTCACCTTAGAAACTATACACCAACCTGTGGCCATCAGAGTCAACATCGTATTGCCCTTGATGTCCTGAATGTCATCCTGTCAATATTTCTTTTATCTTCGGGTAAAGAAAAACATCACTGGGGGCCAGATCAGGCAAGCAGGGAGGGTGTTCCAATACAGTTATTTGTACAGTGCAGCCAATGTAAGCACAGGGCAGTAAGTTTGTGAACTTAATTGCCAGACCTCAACATATAGTGACGATACTTATGATGGCCATTCCAGAAAAAGAATTCCATAACTGCTTTCATGGGTGGCCTAGGCGCTGGTGTCGGCAACCACTTCTTGGTCCTAAAGAGGTGGGCTATTAAGGGTTATATTCAGGCATAGCTTCCCAAGGGAAGTATTTCGTAGGGGACTGTGGTGCTATTCAGCAATGAGGTATGTAGCACTTTTTCTAGGATGGTTCACAAACCTGATTGTCAAACCTTGTTCATTCACTGGGGACATCCTTGAGTGATGTCAGTAATGCCAGATGAGGACTGCTGAAGTAAGAGTCCTCAGAGGAGGTAGAGGTTGAGAAGAGGTGCAGCAGGTTAGGATTTTAGAATTCTCTAGTTGGACCCAGCCCTGCAGATCTTTACCGGCTACAACTGTGGTCCAGAAAACTGGGGCCTTTTGAAGGGCCCTCAGTTAGTGGTGTTCAGGCTGTGCTTTCTCTTCACCTCCCAGTTCTGTGTTCTCCCCATCATGCATGCTGTTTGTGCTCCTGCAGATAAGCGAAAGTGAATAAATCCTCAGTGACAGTATCTCTAGCTGTAAATTCACTAACAAATAAGACTCCTGGCCAGGTGTGATGGCTCATGCCTGTAATTCCAGCATTTTGGGAGGCGGAGGCAAGAGGATTGTCTGAGCCCAGTGGTTCAAGACCAGCCTGGGCAACTTGGCGAGACGTTATCTGCACAATAAATTAAAAAAATTAGCCGGGTGTGGTGGCTCATGCCTGTAGTTCCAGCTACTTGGAAAACTGAGCTGGAAGGATCATCTGAGCCCAGCAGGTCAAGGGTGCAGTGGCCTTGAGTGTGCCTCTGCACTCCAGCCTTGCCACAGAGTGAGACTGTGACTCAAAAAAAAAGACAAAAACAAAAATAAAACCAAATAAGACTCCTACTGGCGATTCGTTCCGCACCCCACCTCATTCTGTAATCTTTACAAGAGCCCTGCAAGGAAGGTTTTACTATCTCTGTTCTGAAGAAGTGGAAACTGAGGCTGGAGGGGTGAGGTAACTGTCCCTGTCCTATAATCGGCAGATGGCATAGCTGGCATGGGGGTCCGGCTCTGCCTGTGCTTTTCTGTACATTATACCCTTTTTAACGATATGAGGGAAAAAATGAAGTGGGGTTAACGAGACAAGCAGAAAGCTGATGCTGGGGGTAGAGGTGTGTGTATTGATAACACTTACTGGCAGTGCCACGTGTGTTCTTCACTTTGCAGTTCACTTGACTTTAGTTTTATTTTTGTTTTTATTTGAATAGTCTTCCTCTGTTACCCAGGTTGGAGTGCAGTGGCACGCTCAAGGTCACTGCAGCCTCTGCCTGCAGGGCTCAGATGATGTTTCTGCCTCGGTCTTCCAAGTAGCTGGAACTATAGGCACACACCACCAAGCCCAGCTAATTTTTAAACAACTTACTGTAGAGACGAGGTCTCACCAAGTTGCCCAGGCTTGTTTCGAACCCCTGGACTCAGGCAATCCTCTCGCCTCTACCTCCCAAAGCGCTGGGATTACAGGCATGAGCCACTGCGCCCAGCTAAGAGACTTTAAAACTTGTCTGGCGAAATTGCCAAAAGAGTGAAAATGGTAAAGTTGGCAAGTTTCTCCATTTATATTTCATTAGCATTTAAAGATAAATAAAAATGTAATTCCCTTGTATACATGTTTACCAACCTCATGCCGTTTTAATTCCTGCAAACACACTGAGTATATTAACCAACTAATTACCAGCATTTGAGTACCATTTTAACGAACAATGGACCGGGGATGAAAAGAGAAAAAGTCTCCACTTGTGGTCAATAGTTGCCTTAGGGTTTGTGGTTTTGTGGGTTTTGTTTAGTCAGAATCTCACTCTGTCCAAGGCTGGAGTGCTCATATCACTCTCACAGCATTTAACCAGATTAGAGCACCATGCAGAGTTAGCTGTAGAAAGTGGCAGCCACTTTTTTTTTTTGAGTTGGAGTCTCACTCTGTCGCCCAGACTGGAGTGCAGTGGCACGCTCATGGCCACCGCAGCCTCGACCTGCTGGGCTCCAGCGATCCTCAGCCTTCCAAGTAGCTGGAACTATGGGCGCGCGCTACCACGCCCAACTAATTTTTTGATTTATTGTAGAGATGAGGTCTCGCCAAGTTGCCCTGGCGGGTCTCGAACCCCTGGGCTCAGGCAATCCACTCACCTCAGCCTCCCAAAGCGCGGGATTACCGGCTGAGTCACTGAGCCCGGCTGGCAACCACTTCTTGGTCCTAAAGAGGGGCTATTAAGGGCTGTATTCAGGCCAGGCACGGTGACTCTGACTTGAGAAAACAATAGGGTTATATTCAGACGTCTCACTGAAGGTCTCGGAGAGGAGATTCATGTTATGTTTCTGTGCCGGCTGAGCGCGTGGGTGCGGCCGGTAGGTGCCAGGCTGAGGCGGGAGATTCCTTGAGCTCAGGGGTTCTGGGCTGCAGTGAGCTAAGGTCGCGCCGCTGCACTCCAGCCTGGGCCACAGGGTGGGACTCAGTCACGGTTTATCACCCCAGCGGTAGGAGCCGTGGCCTGTGCCCGCTCGCTGTCGAGTAATCGCGGGCTAGGCCCTCCTCAGGGCCGCGTCGGCGAAGCGTGTTTCCCCGCTAAAAGCGAGCCCAGAGGCTCCTGAATCCTGGGCCACTACATCACCTTCACCCCCGCCCCCATCCGGGAGGTCCCGAGGCCGCAGCAGCCCAACCCGGAGCGGCAGGTGGGGGTGGGAAGGCGGCAGGGGTGTGGGGGCGGGGTGCGAGGGGCCCGCTAAGGTGTGTAGGGCTAGAGGTCG